TTTTAAAAAATTTTTTTTCCGTGTTGGGCTTTGACCCCCCCCCCCCTTTTAGAATGCCTGTATGGGTTTAGGTGAGTGGAACTCTAATGTTGCAAAAGTGAAAAGAAGCAAAACAAAGTTTAGACTGTGTATTTGTATTAGAACTTTTTCTATGGCAAAGAACAAGTGAGGAGTTAGCTTGAATGGCACACACTTCCTGTTTCTGTAAGAATTGGAGTTACCTTGTAAATCTTGTCTCTGACAAGATGAATTTGGTGTATATGGGTGTATTAGTATGATTGGTTGTATTTATCACAGAGGAGTAGTTAATGCAAAAATCTAAAACACAGAGTGAAGTTTGAGAAACATACTGCTACTTTCTATGCCTATCTGTTTAGGAGACAGTACAGCTTAATATAAGGTCCGGGAACTCTAATGTCAAGCAACCTGGCTTTGAAATCTGGATCTGTGTCTTCTTTGAGTTGATGCTTTCTCATCTATTAATTGCAGATAATTGGTTTCTTACACAGTTGTTCTGAGGGCTAACTCAGGGGTAGGGAAATGATAACATGTTGATATTTGTAAATACTTGTGGTGGCTGTACTCCTTCAGTGCAGAAGCAATGAGACATGTGGAGAAGGGAATCAGCCAGCCTCATTTCCTTAACTCGAAGGTCAGTGTTGTCTGCAGCAGTGGATTTATGGCTGTGGGAAGGAAGCACCTCATGCCTCCCCTCCCTTGTGCATTAGAGTCTTTTAACAACTGTCAGACTTCTGCATTGCTGTTGAATTCAGTGACCAGTGCTTCTGTTATAGATATTGGATTATTGTTTTTGAATTATAATGGTGTATATAGCCTATGTTAAGAACAAAAATTTAACCACAAAATAGAGGATATGCTTAACTTGTTTTAATCATTCCAACTTCTATGCATATATTAAAACATCACATTTCATCATGTCAGTTAAAAATAATAGTAATGTGTGGTAGCACTTGCCTGAAATCCCAGCACTTGGGAGGATGAGGCAGGAAGTTTGCTACAAGTTTGAGGTCAGCTTGATGTACATAGCAAGTACCACATCAGCCAGGGATATGTAGTAAGACCTTGTTGCAAACAAAACAAAACCTGAAAACAAAAATAATGTAGTAAAAGAAGAAAAAAGTCTAGACTGTAATTGGCAGTGATGTTTAAATGCTGAAAACAGAGGCTAACTTTTTAAACTCTAACCTAATTTGTGATTTTCTTTTTTTTTCTTTTCTGAGACAGGGTCTTTCTGTAACCCCAGGTGGCCTAGAATTTGCTATGTAGACCAGGCTGACCTCAATGTCATAGAAATCTGCATACTTCTACCTAAGTGCTAGGACTAGAGGCGAGGGCCACCACTGTTCTTTGGTTTTTTTTTTTTTTTTTTTTTGACACAAGGTCCCAGTCTGTAGTTCAGGCTGTGCTGGAACTCACTGTGTAACCCAGGCTGGCCTTGGGTATGCAGTGAGTGATCTTCCTGCTTTGCTTTCCCAAGTGCCGGGATTACAGGTGTGAACTACCACAACTGGCTCTAAATCAGCTTTATCACCACATTTTAATGTCACAACATCTGCCTAAAAATGTTAGGATGATTTAATGTCACTTAATTTACAAAGAATGTGTAGCTGAGATTCTTAACACGTAAGGCCAAGGTGGTCCAATTCTAAGAAGTTGGGCTTTTCAAGAACAAGGGTACTCAATTTTTCTTATGCTTTTAATCCCGAATTGATGCCTTATTTTATCAAATAGTTTATTTAGAGACACCTGATATGTAGAGTATTCTCATTTGTTTTAGATATAGTTGAAAGAAACAGTCCTAGACTTTAATTTTCTGATTTGTGTTAGGTAATAAAATAATGTCCAGGCTTCTTCATCTCTATCTCCATCCATTATCCCATTATTTTTCTATGTGGTCCAAAAACCTTGAAAACTCAGTGTTCTTATTAAAAATTGACTGTCTTAGAGGCTGTTTCACAACCTAAAGAACTTCAGTTTCTAAAGCTCATAAGCAGATGGTCATTGAGCATGGATGTAGAATGGACTGTGCCTATACAAGTTATGTAAACCTGTAGAGGGTTTCCCTGATTTTTTATTTCTTAAAAAAAGATTTATTTATTTGTGTGTGTGTGATTGTATGTGTGTGGGTGTGAGTGTTGCCGGGCTTGCTGCAGGGTGCTGAGATTCTGAACTCTAGTTCTCAGGATTGCACCAAGTTTTCTTAACTGCTGAGCCATCTTGCCACCCCTATTTAAGTGTATATCCAAATGCCTTTTAAGTTTTGTTGTGGGCAGGTAAGATGGCTTAGAGGGTGAAGGCACTTGCCAGCAAGCCTGACAAATACCTGATTCCATCCCTGGGACCCAAAGAATGGGAGGCGAGAACCTACAAGTTGTCCTCTGACCTCCACACGTGCACTGTGGCACACAGTCCCCCACCCCAATACATATATACATACAAACATACATACATACATAAAATAAAAAAAATTGCTGTGATGTTCTCTTTAAATGCTTTGTGTACTGGTCTATTTTAATTATGGTGTCAACATTTTTCTGTATCTGAACCATCTTTAATGCCATCAGGGTTTGTGTCTTTGGTCATTTCCTCATTATGGGGCTCAAGTGGTTTCCAGGGTACCTACGTTTGTATCTCAGTTTGACCTGCATTTCCTGAGGATGCATCCCAGAGTGGGCATTCCTGGATCAGGAGACTTGAGCATATTTCCTATCAAGTGGCCAAGTTGCTTTCTAGAGAGTGTGCTCTTGCATTGAGATCTTCCAAACAGCTTTCCAATAGTTTTCCAAAGGAAGTTGGACTGCAGCAGAGTGCTGTGCCTTTGGTATCTGCAGGACAAATATTAATTTATGGGGTTAAACTAACAGCACTTAAAAAAATCACACTTGCCTAGCAGGTGACACATGCCTTTAATCCCAGCACTTGGGAGGCAGAGGCAGGAAGATCTCTGTGAGTTTAAGGCCAGCCTGGTCTACATAGTGAGTTCCAGGCCAGCTGGGGCTGCAGGGAGACCCTGTCTCAAAAAGACCCAAAACAAACAAGCAAACAAAAAACTAAAATCAAATCACCTTTATTGGTGTTCCCATGTTTAATGCATTTTAAGAAGCTCCTTTTATGTTTCAGGAACTGCCAACACTAGGACTATAGACAGCTTCTGTTTTCTTTATTCTTTTGAATATAAATACAGCTCATCCCCTTGAGCTTCATGATGATTTGCTGGAAAGCTCCTGGTGGATTACATATTTCAGATTTCGAATGCTTCCACCTGTCCTTATTTCACTCTTTGACTTTCTTGTAGTAGTGGGGTGATGTTTGCTTCTTTTTCTTTTTCATTTTTTTTCTCTTTTCCCTACAGTCCATACTTCTGAGCCAGAGTTCAAGGAAGTTTGCTAATTAGATCATTTTTTGAAGCTGTAGCATAGGAGGTTTTGTTTTGTTTTAATTATAACCTGGGCTAGGCATGATGGTGCATGCCTTTAATCTCAGCACTTGGGAGGCAGGTGGATTTCTGTGAGTTCAAGGCCAGCCTGGTCTCCATAGTGAGTTCCAGACCAGCTGGGGATACAGGGAGACCCTGTGTCAAAAAAGCAAAAGAAAAGAAAAGAAATTATAACTTGGGCCCAGTGAGATGGCTCCATTCATAAAGGTGCTTGTTGCTAAGCCTGACAACCTGAGTTCAATCCCTGGGACCTAACATAGTGGAAGAAGAGAACTGAC